ATGTGGACCCAGGAACTGTTATTAATGAGCAAAAAGTTACTGTTCAGGGCAGTGATTCTGTTTAATAATCAGACAAAATGTAGACGAGCTTTTTAAAGCCATATAGTTTTAACTCTGTACAGTAGGTACCGGCCTGTATTATTGTAACAATAACTCTAGCAATGTATAGTGTATCTATATAGTTTGGAGTGCCTTCGCTTCCATGTGTGTGTTTTTTTTTTTTAATTTGTTCTTTTTAAAATTTTAATTGGTTTCCTTTATCCATGTTTCCCTGTGTGCCCCATTTCCCTTTGAAATAAAAACTCTCATAACAGTATCTTCGCCCCTTCCAAAGTTAAGTTTCAGTGATACCATACTCAGGAGCGGGAAGAGGAAACCATATTCATTATCTCATTTTGTTCAAGTCCTGCCTTTGTTTTGGTTCTGAACGTCTGTTTCCTCCTCAGTAGCAGTGACTGGTTTCATTTCATACTTAGTCCATTCAGGGACTTAGTGTAGCGCCAGGGAGCCCTAGAGCTGGAGGATATCGAATAGATTAGATTTTGCTCGTCTCTTCCACAAGCCCTAACTGTGGGTCTTAAAAACAGCAGATTCTGGGAGCCTTCCATGCTCTCTCCTCTTTTATCTACTTCCCTCCCAAATGAGAGAATGAGAGAGAATTGGTTTTTTTATAAATAGAAGTTTCTTAATAGTATCAGGTTTTGATACATCAGTGGTCTAAATGCTATAGTGCAATTACTAGCAGTTAACTGCATGGCGTGCCACCGTGCCAGTAGAGGACTGTTGTTTTAACAAGGGAACTCCTAGCCCATTTCCTCCCTCCCACCGTCTCTACTCTTGTTTAATGAAATGTTATTTTCTTTTTTAAATAATCAGTTTTATTCTTACTGTGTGCCCAACCCGAAGGCCTTCTTTGAAAGAAAAATGAGTGTTTTGCCTCAAAGTACTCCATATAAGAGGTATTGAATAGAAGAAAAAACTTTACCAAACCAAAGGTTACTATTTTTGAAACATCGTGTGTTCATTCCAGCAAGGCAGAAGACTGCACCTTCTTTCCAATGACATGCTGTGTCATTTTTTTAAAGTCCTCTTAAGTTTTAGACACATATTTTTGGTTTATGTTTTAACAAAGTATACCTAACCAGTCATCTTGTCTGCACCAATGCAAAGGTTTCTGAGAGGACTATTCTCTATCCCTGTGGATATAAAGACACTGGCATTTCATCTGTTTTTCCCTTTCCTTTTTAAAGGATTTAACTTTGGAATCTTCCAAAGGAAGTTTGGCCAATGCCAGATCCCCAGGAGTTTGTGGGGGTGGGGGTGGGAGTGGTTCTTTCTTCTCAATCAAAATTGTATCTCATTCCTACTGTTCATGTTAGTGACCATCTAATCACAGAGCCAAACACTCTTCTCCCCTGTACAGAAAAGTATGTTTTACAATAAAATCTGTCTTTTCTGGTAGAAACCTGAGCCACCGAAAATAAGAGACGACTAGAAGCACAGTAGAGTCCCAGACTGAGATCTACCTTTGAGAGGCTTTGAAAGTAATCCCTGGGGTTTGGATTATTTTCACAAGGTTTATGCCATTTTATTCAAGTTTGTTGCTCCGTTTTGCACCTCCGCAATAAAAAGCAAAATGACAACCAGTACATAAGGGGTTACCTTGACAAAGTAGACTTCCTTGTGTTAATTTTAAAGTTTTTTTTCCTTACTATATCTGTCTACAGGCAGATACAGATAGATGAATGAAATCTGCTTGCCTGTAAAATTTGCATTTATAAATGTGTTGCCGATGGATCACTTGGGCCTGTACACATACCAATTAGCGTGACCACTTCCATCTTAAAAACAAACATAAAAAACAAAATTTATTTTATATATATATATATATATGTATATATATATATATATAAAGGACTGTGGGTTGTATACAAACTATTGCAAACACTTGTGCAAATCTGTCTTGATATAAAGGAAAAGCAAAATCTGTATAACATTATTACTACTTGAATGCCTCTGTGACTGATTTTTTTTCATTTTAAATATAAACTTTTTTGTGAAAAGTATGCTCAATGTTTTTTTTCCCTTTCCCCATTCCCTTGTAAATACATTTTGTTCTATGTGACTTGGTTTGGAAATAGTTAACTGGTACTGTAATTTGCATTAAATAAAAAGTAGGTTAGCCTGGAAATGAAATTAAAATTCACAAGTGTGTGGTCTTTATTTCAGTACCCAATTCTCTGTCTTCACCCTACCTATTTTGCCACTGCAATATGTAGTCACATCACCATTTCCGTTCCTCTAACTAGGGAAACATGAATCTTTGTTATAAAAAACAAGATATGAATACCACTTCTTGTTCTTTCCAATGATTTTATTCCATTGTGTAGCCCCAAAAGTTGCAGCCTCCATCTTGGAAACCTTTGGATTTGATGTAGAGGAAGCTTTGCAGACACTGCTTAGGAAAGAAAGAAAACAACTCTGAAAGGGACAAATTTTAAATGTGTAAAAGCTGCTGTCTTTGATTACTGTGTTCATGATTTGGTGTGGCTGTATTTTCTTTTAACTTTCATCCTATTAATAATGGTCTTTGGGGGTCTCTGTAAAATATATGGACACCACGAACAGTGGGGCTGTACCTCCCACATAACCAACATATGTTGTGTTTGAGTCTGCTCATTTCCAATACTGGATGATGTATGTAAACATGTCTCTTAGTGCAAAATGAAACAACATTTTTTTTAGGGCTGGCTTAATCTGTCAGGCCTAATCTAAAGGCTAGATTTAAGGTCATGTGACTGCTGCTTCAATAAAAACAAATTTATATTCGATAATGTGTGGTTCTCTTATTTACTGTGGTGGTGGGGTTGGCTAATTCCACTAACATTTGTAAAACAGTTAAACACATTTGTGAGTAGGGGCAGCAGGGAGGATTGGATTAGCCAAAACAGAAGATGTTGCTTGTGAAATGGGCCACCTGCTGGCACTGAAGTACATTTGTTTAGGATTTGCTGCTATCTTGTATAGGTTCTGGGATTGAGTTAAACATTGTGTTAAGTGTCATGCAAGATCCTTTTAATTTAAAATCCGAAATGACTGCCCTTTTAGTTTCTAAGTCTTTCCAAAAAGACGACAGTCCTTCGGGATCATATTTCAGGAGAGCAGTGATGGTAGATGTCATTTTTTTGTTTTGTTTTGTTTCTATTTGTTCGCTTGTTTTGTTTTTGATACGAGTCTTGCCCACTGCAACCTCTACCTCCCAGGTTCAAGTGATTCTCCTGCCTCAGCTTCCCTGGTAGCTGAGACTACAGGCATGCACCACCACACTGAGTTAATTTTTGCAATTTTAGTAGAGACAGGATTTCACCATGTTGGCCAGGCTGGTCTCCAACTCCTGACCTCAAGTGATCTGCCCACTTCAGCCTCCCAAAGTGCTGGGATTACAGGCATGAGCCACCATGCCTAGCCACTGGATGTCATTTTGAAATGTGTTCTAGGAAGGTAGTGAGGAGAGGAGAGATCAGGTTTTAGATCAATGTCACTGAGAAGTTCGTGAAAGGAAGTGAACAAAAGTGTTGGGGTGGTCACTCATTTCTCAAGTGTAGGAATATTTCACTCATCAGCACCATCAGATTTAGGAGAGCTGAAGGACATAAAGGGAAAGCTACCAGGAAAAAACAAGCTGCTATGGAAGATGACATAATGAGGCCCACAAGTTAGGAGTCAGGAGTTGGAAGGGATGGAATCATATGTATGTTTCTCTTCACATCCTCTTTCTCCAGAAGGGAGTGGCCACTCTGGCCCTTCCCACAGATTTGTTGTCGATGTCAAGACTTAGACAGTTCTGGGCCAGTTAGAGAGAGTCTGTTGAGTGGCCCTTACTAATGAGGGGGCAGACGGTATGTAGTAGCTTGCTTAGGTCTTTTGCCCTGAGTTTGGAGACTGACTCCATCCTTTCCTCACTGAGCCAGAAAAAAAAAAAGTGATGACAGGATACCTAGAAACTGATGCTTAGTTCTGCTTACTCAAAAGTTCAGGAACAGGAGTAAAGAAGGCATGGAAATGTTGGAGTAGGAAAGTTAAAATCTGGCTCCCAGTCCCATAAACTTGTGATCCACAAAACTACTGAAAGGAAGTACCCTATGTGAGCTCTTTGGTGCATCTAACATTGACTCTTTACTCTTGAAAGACACTTAGTTTTTATAACCTATAAGTATTAAATTTATCTATAAATTACATGTATATATCAATTCAGTGTTTGGGGAACTGCTCTGGAGTTTTTAAATCAATACTGGAGTTGGAAATTTGCCCTCTATTCCATCCTAACTTCACCTTACCCTCTCCTACAGCTAGCAACAGTTTCAGACTCTTGAACAAATGGCACTCAAATCATTTCAATAGGGAAGGGGAGATGCATATGATTTATGAAGAGAGTGGAATCAAATCTATGTTTCCAAATTAGAAATTTGTATTTCTAATTATAAATGGGTTCATAATTAAGCAAAATTCCTGGGAGCAAAGATTGTATTCATTGAGTTTGGAAAGAGAAGCTCTTTTTTCCCTCAGTATCTTTTCTAAAAGTAAGTGCTCCCTATATCTACTTAATGCAGAAAAGTCTGGTAAATTCAGAGGGATGACAGAATATGTTTACTTGTTTTGATCTATATTACTGATGATTTACCATGTTCTCAAAGTTTGGCCTCCTTCTTGTAAAACGGCAAAAGCTAAGTAATTATCTGTTCTTTAAAATTCAGTGACCATGAAGTTTCATTTGAATGAAATATTAAACATTTAAAATTAATTCTGTTCCTATATTTTTAATTATGGTATGCACATGTTAAACTTTTATACAAAACAATCATTTTATGAGTGAGCCAAGTTAAATAATTCATGTTTATGTTCTTACCCCAGGGTCTTTAGATTTATAAAGGACAATAAGTAGTAAAAATACATATGCACGTATGTATTTATTTGTATTTCCCCACCCCCACATTATTTTCCCCAGAAAAGAAGGCCAAAAAAGTTTACCTCTCTAGCCTAAAGTTCATTATTTAATTTCTCTTGCCTTAATTTGACATTAAACCCAGGACCACATTTGCCAAAACTAGTTCTTAAGTGTGGAATGCCTTATATAAAGTATAATTTGTGAAAATGCAAAAAAAAAAAAATTACTCAAAGTGGCTATAAATAAGGCAGGCACTTTCATACCCTTTAGCTTGGAGAATAGATGTGTACATAGAAATATAAGGTGCATGCAAATTATTCTTCTCAGGTATGTTTGACTGTCAGCGTAACCTTGTCACAGAGCATACCCAGCATTCCAGCCCCAGGAACAAACCCAGGCCCCATTAGATGGGGAACAGACCTACCTACACCAAATCACACATCCGCACCCACAGCCAAAGTTTGTGCCCTTACTCCCACAAACTCCTGTCCTCGGGAACCTTACTTGGGTTCCCGGTATCTGTCATCACAGCTCAGCATCCACAAGGAAATTCCTTATGCTGCTTTTGTCATTTATCATTTTTCCTTTTGATCCAAGTTATTTGTGTTTCTGTTTTGTTTTTGTTTTTTTTGTTTTTTTTAACTATAAACTCTGTGAGCTCAGGATCTATATCTGAGTCAACATTGTATACCCCACAGCAGGCTACCTATTGTTGGTGCTTAATAATGTGTTCAAATGGTTGCAGAGATACAGAATGATGTGGCCAGAATGAGGTCATGCCAAGCTTTTGGCATTTGGTGCAGGTCTTCTGGCTTCTCTTCTCTCTAGAGGACTCCCACAGATACTCATGCACCTGCCAATGAGCACAGGCCTGGAGCCCGCCAAGCAGCTCAGAAGAGGAGGCTGGGATTGGGAATGAGTGGGAAGTGGGAGACAGGACGATTGGAGGTAGCAATGAAAAGACTCAAGAAGCGAACAAACGTGGGTATGTGGTCATAGACCCCAGATGGCCCAGCCCTGGCCGCCCCTTCCACACCTTGACACTTTAGTGGGATCTGAGGGATTTCTCCCAGACCACAGGGCCTTTTAGAAGAAAACGGCAGCCTTGCCTCTCTGCCGGTCGTGACCTACAGGCCAGTGCACTCTCCACATAAGGGTCTATGGCTTCACTCCCTGCAGACTGAACTAGGGGTGGGGGGGTTATCCATGTCCTTTCTGAGGAATGATAGCCAGCTGTCATAGCAGGAGTTCCCTGGGGAGGCAGGCTCAGCAGGGCATTGTCGGCTCTCAGCAGTGTCCATCTGTCTTGGCCCAGGAGTGGCAGCTCAGAGGGCCCTGGGTCTGGCTGCCCCTTGGAGGCGACACCCAAGGGCAGCCGCTCAGCTGTCTGTGATGCTGAACAACTCCTGCATGAGGGGCGTAGCAAAGGGGTGTATGTCCTGGATGCGTAGCAGCCGCTGGGTGTGCTGGGCATTGATGCTGCGGAGCTCGGTGAGCATGGCCATGATCTTCAGGAACAGGAACCTGCATGCCAGCCGGATAAAAGTTTGGAGGTGCAGCCAGCCCACCCTTTCCCTGACCCACAAGCCTCAGGGCTGCCCTGAGGCTGCACAAACATAATCTCTGGACATTTCAGGTCAGCCAAGAGACAAGGCTTTGCTGAATTACGTAAGCTTCTCTTTCAGCCTGCGGATGAGAAAGGCAGAACGGCCTTCCCGGTACTGTCCTCACTCCCACCCCATCCATGGGAGTTGTGTCTTTTATTTTTTTCTTTGAAGAGACAGGATCTTGTTCTGTCGCCCAGGCTAGTGTATAGTGGCATGATCATGGCTCACTACAGTGTCAAACTCCTGGACTCAAGAGCCCTCCAGCTTCAGTCTCCTGGGTAGCTAGGACTAGAGCACATGCCACCATGCTAATTGTTTTAAATTGTTCTAGAGTTGGGGTCTGGCTATGTTACCCAGGCTGGTCTTGAACTCCTGGCCCCAAGCAATCCTCCTGTCTTGACCTCCCAACGTGCTGAGATTATAGATGTGAGCCACAACACCCAGCCACAGCAGTTGTGTCTTTGTACACAGAGACATCCTTGGGAAAATCCGGATATTGCAGCTACCAGTGTGGAGGTTTGGGGATGTCACTGCCTTCATTAATGTCCAGAGGCCAGGACTGGGCAGAGTCATCGTGGAGGTTAGGGGCTGCAGGCTGGAATCCCTTTCTGAAACTTGCTTTGAAGCTAGTGTCTGAGATGTACCATACGCCTCAGCATTCCCATGATGGAAAAGAAAGCTGGCACTTTCAGCCTCCTGCCTCCATGCAAAGAAGTGTTGAGCAAATAAAGACATGGCCACTCCCAGCATCCCAGGACACCATGCCAGAAAGAAAGCTGTACAGGCCAAATAAGGATTTCAGTTTATAAGTCCACACTGTAATACTCAGTGTTGCCCTTAACCCTTCATGGCCTTGGGCTCAGTACAATCCAAGTTTGTCTCTGGGCCTGTGGGCATCAGTCTGGGCACTAGGTGACAGGAGCTACTGAGGATCAGTGAAGGTGCGGAAGCCCCTCTCTGGGCCATGTCCCCTTGTTTGCTTGTATTTCTCCTGGGAAGTGGTTAGGTAGTGCTCAAAAGTGTGAGCTTTGGACCTGGTCTGGCTGGGTCCACCTTCAGATGCCACCCTCTGGTTGTGAAGCCTTGAGCAACGTCCCGAACCTCGGCTCCCTCACACCACCCTCACGGGTCCCTGACCCCTTCTGTGCTCACCTGTGGGCAGGCTGGGGCCGATTGCATTCAATGTAGGCCTTCAGGGTAATGGCAAATTGTTCCTGCAGCTGGTCCACCACATGGTGCTGCACCACACCTGGGCGGTCTGGAGGGGAGGGGAGGGGAGGGAGATGTGGTGCAAAGACGAGCTCACTCCAGCCCAGAGCCAGGCATTGCTCACCAACCACCTTCCAGAGCTGGAGTCTCCCAGGCAGGAAAGTAAGGGAAGACCAGGGCTCGGCACCACCCGCTGACCCCAGGAGAAACCAGCAAAAGCCCCCATCCTGGCTGTGCAGTGAGTAAGAAGCAAGGTCGTGGACTAGGACCTTCCCTGGGGAGGGCAAATGAGGCTGGGGGGATGTCAGCCACCCTGGGGGAAGCCTTCACCTGGAGAGAAGAGGGAGATGGCCTGCATCAGCACATACTCCTCCTCATGCAGCTGCAGCTTCTTCAGCATATAGTGGAATTTCAGCATGGGCTCCAGTAGAAGTTGCTGGAAGCCACCTGTGGGTGGTAACAGGGTGGAGGGCAGCTTCACAGCAAGCTGACCAAGAGCCAGTCATCCCCCACCAAGCTCTTATTTTCTACCACTCCATCTTCCTGCCCTGCCATCCCAGAACCTGCATGTCCTGGCACAGCTCCCTTTCTCCCACAACGGTGGAGTTTCCCTTCCTCTGCCAGGGCAGGCAGGCTCTCTCAGGCACCTGCAGTGTCTTCCAAGCAGTAGGACAGCCGGCCACACTCCCAGGTCCCAGTCTCTGCGTTGAACACCGTGTTGAATCTCAGTTGGCACAGCTCAAAAGTGGCCCCCTTCAGCAGGGAGATCTGGTCCTCAATGGGCAAGTCCCTGGCAGCAAGGATGGGGAGGGGAGGACAGCTCCCTGGGAGGCGGCCCACAGGCCAGCACCAGCAGCCGTCCCATAATCCAGAAGTTGGGGGCGAGACGAAGAGGGAGGATGCTCCTTTCCCTGAGGATGACTGTGGCTGTTGTCTCATCTCTCCCCTCACAACCCAGCAGCAGACAGCCTGCCCCCAAGTATCCTCTCCTCCCTGCTACCTCAGGGGACTCTACCTCCCACCAAGCTTGGCATCTAGGTCCCTTACAGCCTGGCCCCACCTCCTTCAACTCCTACACAACCCCTGACCTACTTTGCTTTGGCTTCTGGTCCCTGGACTGTTCCTTTCTGCCTCAGTTTCCCCCCCTTGGAATGACTGCCCCTTTAGTAAATCCTGCTGGCCCCTCAGGCCAAGCTGTCTTTGATTCTCCTAGAAGTCTTTCCAGAGTGCAATCTCCCCTTCTGGCCTGAGCTCCAGCAGTGGGGATGTTTGCTTCCTTTTGTCTGTGTTGGGCTTAATATGCACACACTTATTTCTACTGTTTCCTGCAGCCCAGATGCCTGCAGCCCCACTCCTGGCGCCGGAGCACAGGCCTACCCATGGAGGTGACTTAATAGGCCTCTAAGACTATGGTTACATGGATACCCCTCTGGTCCTCCAGACACCACTTTCTCCCAACCTGGGAGGGGCCCCCACCTCCCCTTACAAGAAGGAGGCTTGGCAGCCCAGGAGGGAGGCTGCTTATGCTAGGTGTTGAGGAAACACTACCTCTGGCCTTGGCCTCCTTGGGAACTCAGGCCCTGGGCTCCTGGTGCCCATCCTTCTTATAGATCCTTAACACTGAGCTACAAATGCCATGTAATTGATCTTATTCTTCTCTGCCTCCCCATTGCCTGGCTTAGGACGTGGCATCGAGCTGGCTTTGGTACTTCCAAATCTGCCCTCCACCACTGATTAGCTGTGACCTTGTACAAGTTCCTTATCCTTGGGGAACCTGTTTCTATCTGAGAATGAAGATGTCCGTGACACCTCAGGTCACTGTGATCAACACTGGTGGCCATGAGAAATGGCAAGTGGGGAGCCCTGGTGTTAAATTGTCAGTTATTGGATTTCACCAAGGATCTTCCAATGTCCACATTTATAAGTAGGCTTCTCTTCCTGCCCCATTTAAGCTAATTTTTTTCCACCATCTGAACCCCATTCCAAACCTGCTGCTGGCATCACCCCATTAAATAAGTCATGCATAGCTCCTACAGGGCCGGAGAAGAACCTCTGGGCTCCTAGACTACAACCTACCCTCAACCTGCTGCAGAAACCAGGAGCTCCTGGCAGGCGTTTCAGCCTGGCTTGACCAGGCTTGGCAAGGGCAAGGTGGCCTACCCAAGAACAGATACACCTGGCACCATTCCCAACACTAACAGCGTGCAGACATATTCAGGGCCTGTGGTTCCCTCCACCCCAGGAAGTTCCCGTGTCTCCCACTAACCCCAGCTGCCCCGTGGTTGTTGCCTCCACCTTTAGCTCTGGTGAGACCTGACCCTTTGGGCTCTGAGGACCACCCACCCTCTCCATGGCCTTCATAGCCTTGTCTTGTCTATTTCTCTCATTCTTTGCTCTAAAACTGCCGACACGTGGTTCCTGAAACTTTCAGGGAGAGTGGGAAAGGGAATGATCATCTGAATGCCCACTGTGTGCCAGGTGCTCTTCAGATGTGTTCTCATTCCACAGAACGGCCCTGCAGGGGAGGCATTGTTAGCTTCCATGGAGCAGGTGAAGAGGCAGAGATGCTGGCAGGCCCACAGCCACAAAGCTAATCAGCCATGCAGCAAGGGCTCTACTTCCCAGCAGCACTGGCTGCCCCGGGGGGCAGGGCACAGGAAAAGGAGGGTCTTCTGACACCAATATCCCCCAAATTCAGGAATCTACCCCAGGCCCTTTGAACCTTCTGGCCACTTCCAGTTCGTTTCCACACCCAACCACCCATCCTCCATGTCCTACCTGAAGTAGGAGATGACTTTGGCAAAGTTGATGATGCCTTTGATCATGTAGGTTGACATGTCAGCCATGTGGGGCAGCAGGGAAAAGATCTCTTTCCCGCCATTGTCGGCTGGGGGTTTGTAGTTCCAGACACTGCCATCCTCCCCCCGCAGCTGCAGAGAGACCTTCACAGAGCACAGATCTTTCCTGACCTGGCTCCATTTGGCAGCTTCTTCCCTCGATGGGGCCTGTAGAGACTCTGGCATCTCACAGCCACTGCTAAGCACCCCTGGCAACTAGGACACATGCCAAGAGGCAGAGAGAGGAGAGACAGCATGTGTTTTCATACATGCTCAGATCCCAGTCAAACATATATAGCCTCAGCTGCAGCCTGAAAAGATGCACAAATGCAGGCATTCATACTCACAGGCACGCATGTGTCCCCACACATACACACACACAACATTTGTTTCTTCTCTCCGGGTTCTCCTATCAGATGAAGGTGCTTTGGGGGTCTATGAATTAATGGTCACACACATTATCCCTGCTGGGTCAAAATGGAGGGTAAGGGGGCCTCCAACCATGGTGTGTCCCAAGCATTCCAGATGTTGGGCTCAGGAGACTCAGAAAGTTTAGGGCAGTATGGATGGGAAGAGCAGATCTGAGGTCACTGAGCTAATCCAGTTCTTTGGGCTGGGAAGGGCCACTTGAGATATCTATCAGTCCAAAGGAGAAGGAGGGCGCTTGAAGCATAGATATGGTTAATGTGCTGGGACCAAGAGACACCAATTCATGAAAGTCACACCCCCAACAGTTCCTGACCCTGTCCTCATAAAGCCCTGAATGCCAGCAACCCTGGGGAACTGCCTAGCTTTCCCTCCACATATTGCTCAGATCCAGTTGCTACCTGCTTTAAAGAAGAGAGCAGCGATTTTTAAACCTGAACCTGCAACAGAATCACCCGGGGGTCCTGCCCCTCCCTGGAGCTTCTGATTCTGGAGGTCTGGGGTGACCTGCAAATCCGTATGCTGATGCTGCTCACCCAGGGACCACACTAGAACTCTGGGAATGAGACTGAGGCTTTGGAGAGCTAGCACAGATGCAGGGACAGCTCCCCAGCCTCCTACCCGGAAATTCTTGAAATGGGAGAAGGTAGTGTCAAAGGTTTTCATCTGAGCATCCATCAGCTCCCTGATCATCATCCGCTGCACTTCCGTCAGCCCCTGCATTTCCGGTGGCTGAGTCCCGATCCGTTCTCTTTTCTTCCTCTTGATCAAGGCCCGCCTCTCCTCCACAGCCACGTCAGACATGATCACTGCAGGGACAGTGAGGCTGGCTCAGGCACACGTGCCCCTGGTCAGCCTCCAGCCCCCTGGGAAGCCACTACATAACGCTTTCAAGGCAGCAGAAGGCATTGGGCAAAAGGGAAAATGATGGTGACAAGCAATTCTCCCCTGTCCAGACTTGAGAGGCCTATGGGCTCCTCTGGAGAAATACCTGGGTGAGGACAGAACTGGGGTGCAGCTGCTGTGTTGCTCTCTGCAGTGGGGTTTGTGAGGACACTGTGGGGCCCTGGTAAGATCATGGGCTTCAGAATCCGAAGGCGCTAGGTTTGCATGAAAGCTTTGCCACTTACTAACTGTGACCCCAGGCAACCTCCTTACCCTCTCCTGCTTTCAGGTTTCTCCTTTGTAATCTGGAGGAACCGTGTTTACCTCGTACCACTGTTAAATGAGACCTTGGACGTAAAGTGACCAGTATAATTCCTGGTACATAAAAGATGTTCAATAAATGGCATCTACTGTTATCATTTTCTGGTGAATTATATACCAAGACTTTCAGAGGTGTCTGGGTCTCTAAGACCCCAGAGAGCTGGGCTACAGCTTAGCAAGAAATAGTAACTCTAGACACTTCCTATATAGCCTGGAGCCTTAGGGTCTTCTGTGGATTTCTGGAGCCCACTGTATGTATAGAGCAAAGCTATGAGGTCCTTGGTGGGGAGAGATGGAGGGCGCCTGCCAGCAGCCTAGAGAACTTGTTCTTGAAAGAAGCAGCTTTGGGTCCCTTTGTGTTCCATGGAGACAAATACGCACTAGAAGCGTCTAGCCTTTTCCCCATGAGCCTTAATCTCAGAGTGACCTGGGAGCACGGATGTATCAAAGTTAAACAGGTAGAATGAGGACGCCTCATGTCACCTGTCTGCAAAGAGTTCCCCTATAAAGATCCAGGTCTGGGGCAGCTGGTAGGGCTAGTAGCTAGAAGGCTGGGGGTCCTATTAACCAATGTGGCTCCTGCTTCCCTTCCCCAGATTCACACCCCTATCCCCAAATGTGGTTTTAAACCATCAGAACAACTATGAGGGGGACAAAAAGAATCATGCAGGAGCAGCTGAGGGGAGACAGAGAGCACACCCTGGCCAGAGCTGCCCAGCACATCTCCTGGGGCAGAGATTACTAGACTCCCTCCGTCTCTACAGGGCCGGCTGGAAGCGCTCCCCTAGGTGGCTGCCTGTTGCGCCACGACATCAGCTCACAAGTGCACGTGCGCTCACGCGCACACTCGGCTCCCATCTCCACTCACGCAGCACACACCCACGGCGCGTCCCTACACAGAGCCGTGCGCCCCGGCCCCGGCCCCGGACCGCCCGCGCGCCCGCTGCTCACTCTCCTTCTTCATGCCGCTCTCCAGGCACTTGCGCAGGCGGCAGGCCTGACACTGTCGCCGGGTCTTCCGGGTGATCTCGCAGGCGCCCTTCCGGAAGGGGCACCTCAGCCGGGAGTTGCGTTTCATGGCCCTCCTGTGAGAGAACGGGGAGCAGAAGGGAATCTGCACCCGTGCCCGGGCCCTTGGTCTGGGGCTCCTGTCCACACCACCTCCCTCCTTACAGACTCGGGGAGGGGGACGCCAACCTTTGCGTCCCAGCTGGGTCGGGTTTTATGGGAAGGGTGTAGGTGGGCGTCCCTAGAGGTCCAGGACTCGGCTAGAGGGGGCAGGGCCGGGGAGGAGATCTTTTCTGGTCATTACCGCAGGAAATGGGACGCGTGCTTTTCACAGGCTCCTGCAGCTCCTGGGCCACTTTCTGGGACACTTCAGCTCCAGGCCCATCCCCAGCGCCTTCCCCTCTTCCTGAAACCCCTGTCCCCTCCTCTTTCACACCCTTGTTACCGGAAGGTTTCCATGGAGATGGGCCTCTTCCTCGATTTTCCCTCCTTAAAAGAGGGAACCGAGGAAACCTGACCCCAGGACAGTAAGAAACCAGAGAAGCCCCCGCCTTTCCTTGCTCCGCTTCTTGACTGGGTTGCCAGGGAGGAAGGGGTGAACTATGGGGAAGCTTTTCTACCCCGCGGGACAGCGGCTTCCCCATGGCAGAGTGGATTCCCCTCGTTGATCTAAGGGGCAAAGAGGTCCAGCGCCTGGAACAGCAGAGCGTGCAGACGGGACCCACCGGCCTGCACAGAGGCGGTGCGCAGAGACACAATGGGACAGAGGCCTTTTGGAGACGCTGGTGCAACATCTCCTCCTCCCAGCCCAGGAGTCCTGCACAAAAGACACGGTTGGTGCAGCCCTTCCTTTATTTTTCCCATTTCCACAGCTGGATGGAAAGAAAGAAATTATCCCTTGGCTCTGGCTCTGGTCCAGAGTGGGAACTGAGGAAGGCTGCCCCAGGAGCACAGAACAGCCAGGTAGGGCTGCAGAGGTCCCTGAGGGCAGGCCTGGAAGGCTGAGTTAAGCCCGCAGTAACCGGCAAGGTTGAGCTTGGAGGCCTCGGGCCTCGGACCAGTGACCAGCTGAGGGGCATGTTCTTCACAGACGCCATCTCTGCCTTTTGCCTTCCCAACTGGCCTGGGGAAGAAAGCCCTGATGCTACATCAGAGTCCACCCAGAGTGAGTAAAAGATGAAACCGGGGCGCACATTGATTAAAGGTATGCTATGTATCAGATGCTAGGCTAGGTATTTTGCAGTTTTGCAAATTTAGATCTCAAACCCTGTGAAATTCATAATCTCATCTGCCTGGCACAGATGAGGGAGACTGAGGCTTGGAGACAATGGACCCAGCTGTCCTCTGGGTACATGACAAGCTGAAATTTGAATCCAGGTCTGCCTGATACTGGATTTAGCTCTTGCCCACTAAAACATGTTGCCTCTTTCTGGGATTCCCAGAAATAGTACCCAAACAAGGAAGGGAGAGCCGAAGATTCCCACACGCGGAGGCAGGATGCATGGACATTGCATGGGCAGCCTCTTCTGTGCCAGCAGTATCTGGAGCTGGTGCAGACATCTACCCTCTTCCACGCAGCTGTCTGGCATGTGCCCAGCTGAGGAACATATCTGGTGCTCTTTGCTAGTGACTAGTTCAGGCATAGACTGGGCCAAGCTCTATGAGGGGCCTCCTGGGAAAGGTTTGTTTACTCTCAAAGATGGGCCTTTGTTTGCCTCTGCTGAACCTCATGATTCCTGCCTGGGGTGCTGGCACCCACAAGGGGAGCCCGATTGCAATCAGAGCTCTCAGGTGGGATGGCTGAAGAGAAAAATGGAAAGAACCTGAGCTGCCAAACTCACCAACCTGGAGGCCTTCAGGCTTCCTGTTAAGAGAGGTAATGCATTTTCCTTATTGCCAAACCAATTTGCAATGAGTGTCCTGTGACTTGTAGCTGAACCTAGCCTGACACTGCTGATATGTCTCACCCCTGTTATAACTCATGCAATACAAATGTTCATTTCTCCCAGGAACTTGCCCATTTCCATTCAAATAAATGCCCAGCCTCCAGGAAGAATTCTGCAAAGGGCCAAGTCAGGCTGGCTGTCTTAGGAATGCATGAGGGTCCTGCATGTGGCCCTTGAGGTAGGAGCTGCTCCTTGCATACCCTATTCCCTCTGGAGGGTGTACTGGAAGTCCTTCCTCACACATGGAAGGTATAATTTGCAAAACTGCAAAATAGTTCACACATTTCTTCCCTCCCCTCCCTCCCTTCCGCTCAGTCTGCTTCTTTTGCCATGGTCTTAGCCCTGTCCCAAGGGTAGCCTTGCTGAACTGGCTTCGCTCTGTTTCTTCAGCTGGACAACATGAGCTCTTCTGTCCAGGCCTGCCTTGCTATGAGCTGGGACATTTTAGACCATGTTTGTGGTCCTCCCTGTTAGTCTGTTTCTAGGTGACCTTGTTTTGTTAAATTTTTCATTTATGCCATCCTTTACGTAACAACCACTCCAGGAGGCGGATATGAACGCTTGGATTTGGGATTTTCAAATTCCTTATCTTTTATTGAGTCATCTTCTCTTTTATTCAAGACCACATGGAGAAGCCCAGGGATATCTTAATGGAAGGAGACCTTTCCTGGGTAGTACAGGAAGACTAAAAATGAAGGATTCCTCTGGGATATAAATGCCTCCCTTGAGACTCGTACAAGGCCTTTGGGAGGGCCACCAGCCCACACTTTGAACCTGGGGGGGACAGGTCAAGCTGAGGCCTTGAGACGTTACCCAGTGGGTTAGTGGCAGACCCCAGTTAGATGTGACCCAGCTTGTCAGTGGTGGCAGGTGAGTGAAGGCTGATGGGTAACTCACCTGAAAAAGCCCTTGCATCCTTCACATGTCATGACATTGAAGTGATAGCCAGTGGCCTTGTCCCCACATACACGGCAGATTTGGGGACCCCCAACTTCCTCATCTGCCTTGACAGTGGGCTTTCCAGGAACAGACTCTGTGTCCCTCCAGTGTACAAAGTCAGCATGGTTCCAGCTTTCTTTGGGTCTCACCTCCAGGTTTGCTTCTGGGTTTCTTGGACTAGAAGTGAGAAAACCACAGAGAATGAAAAGGCTGGATAGGGATGTGTGGAGGCCTCAGAGGAAACACTCTGTCCCTTACATGCATCACTCACATTTGGGCCTGTGGACTCAGGAGCTGACCTCTCATGGGGAAAAAAGGGGGAGTCGGGGCTGGAATTGTTATAAAGAGAGCAGTAATCATGATGTTTTGTATGCAAAAATAGAGCCCTGGAGTAGAACATATGAATAAGAATGTGGGAGAAAGAAGGGTAAGAGGGGAGGAGGAAATGAGGAGAAAAGAGAGCAGGCTGCCTGGGTTGGATTACAGAGGCCACACCTGAGTGGATTGAGGTTTGGAGGTCACGAGTTGGCCAGAGGTCTGAATGGCGAGCAGCTCTTGGGACAGATTACTGGTTGACGATGATTTCTGGGATTGGGGACATTAAGGGAGGATAGTCCTTCAGGTGGGGCGTGGTCCAAGCTCCCAGAGGGAGCTGGAAAGGCTGGGCAGAAAGAGAGTTTTCAACTAAGTAGCCAAGAAGATGGGGAGAAAGTGGATGCGAGGTGGGCAAGATCACAACACGGGAAGAAAAATGGCCAATGGTCCCAGCAGAGCTGGAGTCTAAGTGGATATTGAAGAACTGCTGCCTATTAATAGAGCTGCTGCTAAGCATGGTGGCTGTTGTCTGTGATCCCAGGGTTTTGCCAGGCTAAGGCAAGAGGAGCGCTTGAGCCCAGGGGTTTGAGACCAGCCTGGGCAACAAAGTGAGATCTTTTCTCTACAAAAAATAAAAAAAACTAGCCAAGATCAATGGCGTGAGCCTATAGTCCCAGCTACTTGGGAAGCTGAGGTGGGAGGATCGCTTGAGCCTGAGGGTTTGAGGCTGCAGTGAGCTAGGATCATGCTGGTGCACTCTAGCCTGGGTGACAAAGTGAGACCTCATCGCTAAAAGAAAGAAAAAAAGAAAAACATCGAGGTGTACTCAAGGATGTCCTCCCCCGATCACTTGTACCTTGAGAGCATAACTTGAATTCTTCTTGGATGTTCAGTAGACGTGGGGGACTGTCCTGTTTACTACTGTACCCCAGAGTCTCTTTAGGTACTGATTGCCAAGGGCAGCAACCACCACATGTGATGATGTTTTTTCTAAAGCCAAAATCAAAATTTCAGTAAAATTCTAACATATAAATTTCTAACATCATTACAGGTGATATCTGACAGTTTCATCTGTAAGAGTAAATAAGGAATTAATCTGTCTCTGACCCTGACCCTTCATTACACTATGAATACAATACATTGACTGGAAACCTGAACTGAACCGGCATAGGGGGAAAATCTGCCCTGATTTTTCAAATCATAATCCTGACCTTATGTAGGCTTGCAGACAAAATGTATACAACCTCAAGCCAAAAAGTTGATTTAAGATTTAAAGTGCTCCTTTTTTTTTTTTTTTTTTTTGAGAGGGAGTCTTGCTCTGTCACTCAGCCACACCCAGCTAATTTTTGTATTTCTACTAGAGACTGGGTTTTACCATGTTGGTCAGGCTGTTCTCAAACTCCTGACCTCAAGTGATCTGTGCGCCTTAGCCTCCCAAAGTGTTGGGATTACAGGCGCGAGCCACTGCTCCCGGCTAGAAATCCTCCATTTTGGAGGAACTCACGTTCCACTTTCTACCTAGGCACAAATAATCGCATATAATTTCAAAGAAATATGAGCAAATATTCAGAAGCCATGATTGAAAAGACTGGCACAGCATGATGAGCAAGAGTCAGCGCAAAAACAACTAGAATTAGACGTGAGAAGATGCCCTGAATTATCAAACACAGAAATGTTTAAGTAAACAGTACAAGAGGTTGAAGACATAAAGAATAAAAGACCTTAAAATTGACCAAGCAGATTTGAAAAATGAATAAAAATTTACTATGAAAATCTAAATAAACAATGACTCCTTAAACCAATAATAACAATATCTTGGGAGTTAGGAAAGGCAAAATACAACTAAAATATGGATGGACACAGTGAAAGTTTTCTAAGGTTCTGTATTGTTGAAGGGAAAAAAGACGGTAAATTTTAGATTGTCATTAGTAAAGTGTGTTTGATGAAATGTCTACAGTTACTGCTAAATGTCTAAAAATTGAATACATAACTTGGAAGCTAATAGAAAGGAAAAAGTGGAAGAAAAAAGTTCAAAAGAAGGCAAGTAGAGAGTTAAGAAACTGAAATGGTGAGACAAATAGAAAACACAAGATGTGTGGTATAAATACCAAATAGGGGGCTGGGCTCGGTGGTTTATGCCTCTAATCCCAGCACTTTGGGAGGCTGGGGTGGGCAGATCACCTGAGGTTAGGAGTTTGAGATCAGCCTGGCCAACATGGTGAAACCTTGTCTCTACTAAAACTACAAAAAATTAACTGGACGTGGTGGCAGGCGCCCATAATCCCAGCTACTCGGGAGGCTGAGACAGGAGAATCGCTTGAACCCGGGAGGCAGAGGTTGCATTGAGCTGAGATTGTGCCATTGCCAAATATGTTGGTAGGTAAATGTAAATATATTAAATGTAATTATATTAAAAGACACTGACAGACTAGATGTGGTGGCTCATGCCTGTTATCCCAGCACTTTGGGAAGCTGAGGAGGGCAGATCGCTTGAGGCCAGGAATTTGAGACCAGCCTGGGCAACATGGAGAAAACCCATCTCTACCAAAAATACAAAAATTAGCTGGATGTGGTGGTGTGTGCCTGTAATCCCAGCTACTTGGGAAGCTGAGGCATGAGAATTGCTTGAACTTGGGAGGCAGAGGTTGCAGTGAGCCGAGATCATGCCACTGCACTTCAGCCTGGTGACACAGCGAGACTCTGTCTCAAAAAAAAAAATAAATAACTAAAAATAAAAGCACACTGAGAAAGATGGTTTCAGCGGATGGCTGCAGCAATCTTAGGTTCAGGATTAGTATTTGGGGGCAGATTTTGTATTAGAGACTAAGGAATGGAACAGACACCAAAATGGAAACTAATGATTATTCAAAATCAGTGTTTCAGGTGCTTTGTAAAAGGTCACTCATTGTCTTAGTTCATTCAGGTTGTCATAACAAAATATCAGAAACTGAGTGGCTATTTATAAAAAAAAAGTTTTTAAATTTATAAACAGAAATTTATCTCTCATGGTTCTGGAGGCTAAGAAGTCCAAGATTAAGGCACTAGGAGATTTAGTGTCTGATGAGAGCCTGCTTCCTGTCATCTAGGGCACCCTCTCCCTGTGTCCTTGTATAGTGCAAGGAGCTAGCCAGCTAGCTTTTGGGGTCTTTGGGGTCTCTAGGGTCTCTCTCTCTCTGAAACAGAAAAAAAAAAGCAACAAAACTCGGCCACCTAGGCTAGAGTACAGTGGTGTGATCTTAGCCCACTGCAGCCTTTACCTCCTGGGCTCAAGCAATCCTCCAACTCAGTCTCCTGGGACCACAGGTGCATGCCACCATACCTAGCTACTTTTTTTTTTTTCATTTTTAATAGAGACAGGGTTTCCCTATATTGCCCAGGCTTGTCTACAACTAACTTCTGGGCTCAAGTGATTGCCTGCCTCAGCCTCCCAAAGTGCTGGGATTACAAGCATGGGCCACCACTTCTGGCCTCTGGGATCTCATTCGTGGTCATGAGGATACCACCCTCATGACCCAGTCACCACCCAAACTCCCCACTTTCCAAAGCCATCACATTGGGGATGAGGATTTTAACATATGAATTTGGGGTGGATCACAAGGTCAGGAGATCAAGACCGTCCTGGCCAACATGGTAAAACTCTGTCTCTACTAAAATACAAAAAACTAACTGGCTTTGGTGGCACATGCCTGTAGTCCCAGCTACTCGGGAGGCTGAGGCAGGAGAATTGCTTGAACCCGGGAGGCAGAGGTTGCAGTGAGCCAAGATCACGCCACTGCACTCCAGCCTGGCAACAGAGCAAGACTGTTTCTCTCTCTCTCTCTCTCTCTCTCTCTCTCTCTCTATATATATATATATATATATATATATATATAGGTTATGAGAGAAAGGTAAATTGAAACCACAAAGAAATAACTTCTACAATACACAAGAATGGCTACAAATCAAAAAGACGTAAGAATCAGTAATAATGTGGAGAAACAGCCCTTATGCACTGCTAGCAGGAATGTAAAATGGTACAGCCACTTAAGAAAACAATCGTTCAATTACCTAAAACGTTAAACATAAATTCACCACAACTCAGCAATTCTACTTCTACATATCCACCCAAGAGAAATGAAAACATATGCCCTACACAAATACTGTACAGAAATGTTCATGGCAGCATTATTTGTAATAGCCCAAAACCTGACCCAAATATCCATCAACTGGTCCATGGATAAATAAAATATGGAATACACTTGGAATACTAATATATAATAAAATACTAATATACAATGAAATTCTATTCAGCAGTTTAAAAGAGTGAAGGATACATGCTACAGCACAGATGAACCTTGAAAACATTATTCTATGTGAAAGAAGTATACCCAAAGACCACATACTGTATAGCTCCACTTATATTAAATGTCCAGGAAAGGCAAATCCATACAGAAAGTAGATTTGTGGTTGCCTGTGGCTGAGAGTGGAATACAGTGGCTGCAAATGAACACAAGGTTTCTTTCTGGAGCATAGAAATGCCCTAAAATTAGATTTTGATGAAGCTACACAACTCTAAATACACTAAAAATTATTAAATTGTTCACTTAAATGATTAGACTTTATGATACATAAGCTATATCTCAATAATGCTATTTTTAAAAATAATCAACTGGACATTCCAGAAATTAATAGTACAATATCTGAAATTAAGAACTCAGTGGATGTTTTAACAACAGATTGAATCAGCAACAGACAGTGATAGTGCATTCAAAATTAGGTCAACAGAAAATATATAAGCCAAAGCACAGAAACAAACAAAAAAAGAGCATTAAGAAAAGAACAGGGCATAAGAGACACACAAGACTTGGTGAAATAGTCTAGTA